AGAGAGCAATCGTGTTCATCCTAAAAGCCCCGTTTGCTTTCTTCCGTTTCATCTTCTAGGCCTTGAAAATCCACACCGTGGGCCTTCCAATCTATGCAAGTTTTTCATTCATCTTCCCAATGTCTTGACAGTTTCCAGAAGAACCTGTGGGATTTTTCTTTCTTTCGCCAGGGTCTACATAAAAGAAAATAAAACGGCGTTAAAGGGACTGCTCAAGCATTCAGGTGACTTTCCTAGTGGGCAGCAAGCTATCTCAGCAGAACTTGGGCCCCCTGTCGGGCTGCTGTGACAGAGAACCACAGGCCGGGGGGGCTCACAAACAGCAGACGTTTACTGCGCACAGTTCTGCGGGGTGTCCAACATCAAGATGCTGTCACATTCAGGGTGGGGGCTGGTGATAACTTGCTTCCTGGTTCACAGACGGCTGCCTCCTCGCTGGGCCCTCACATGGTGGAAGGGGCGAGGGGGCCTCTGGGGCCACTTTTTTTTTTTTTTTAATTTATTTCTTTATTTTGAGAGAGAGAGAGAGAGAGAGAGAGGATAGAGAATCCCAAGCAGGCTCTGCCCTGTCAGCACAGAGCCCCATGTGGGGCTCGAATTCACAGACCATGAGATCGTGACCTGAGCCGGAGCCAAGAGTCAGATGCTTAACCGACTGAGCCCCTCAGGAGCCCCGTGGGGTCACTTTATAATGGTTAGAATGGGGCCATCACGACCTAATCACTTTCCAAATACCCATCACCTTTGGGGGTTAAGATTCAACATAGGGGTTCTGGGGAGACCTTCAAACCAGAGCACCATATTTGTATCATTTGTGGATGGAAAGTACCAGACTGAGTCCATTCACCATCCTTGACCTCAGAGCAGCCGGAGGTCAGCCCTAACTTGCTGCTTGAGCTGGGACACTGTGACGGGCGCATCAGCAGTGACAACGAACTCCAGTTGGGAGCACTGATGCGTCTCTGCCTGCTACACAGCACATACCAGACCACTGTCCCTGCAGCTTTGGTTCAGCCAGAACAGGCGGCAGGAAGGGAAGGGAGCCGTTACAAGGTACAGGGTGACTTATTTCCCATCTGCCTTTTCAAATGGTGCTCACTGGTTTGGAGAAAGTGAGGTAGAGAGCCTTTCTCCCCACTTTGCGGATTCGTTTTCTGTTGCAGCGTAACAAAGGACCACAAATTCAGTGGCTAAAAACAACAGACAGGTATTGTTTGACAACTGCTGTGGGTCAGGAGTCCAGGCAGCTTTGCTGGGTCCCCTGCTCAGGGTCTCACAAGTCTGCAGTCTAGTGGCAGCTGGGCTGTGTTCTCATCTGAAGACATGACTGGGGGAGAGCCCACGTCCAAGTTCGTGACGGTGTTGGCAGATTCATTTTCTTGTAGCTGCATCACTGAGGGCCTGGCTGTTCACTGGCTGTTGGGAGAAGGTCACCCAGGTCCTGGCGGCCCCCCTGCAGTCCCCTGCTGGGAGTCTTTCTCTATAGAAATTTCAAAGCATGGCTGCTTGTCCTTCAAGGCCAACAGGAGAGTGTTGCTTGTGCCAGTCTGTTAAGACAGCGTCTTATACCAAGGTAATCTTGGGAGTGACATCCGACCATCTCACCCATGTTGTTTGGACTAGAAGTGAGTTACATGTTCCACCACATTCAAGGGAAGGGGGTTATACAAGGAGTCATCTCAAGTGTACCCACTGCAGCATGTTATCCAGTGTCTTTGGGAAAGTGACGGAGCATCCTTGATGCTGTGCAGATACCAAAGTGGGCAAATTTTGTCTAATGATCACCTCAGTATCAGACATGGGCCGAAGGGACCCCCTTCCCAGCAGAGGACTGATGCCCCGTGCAGAGTGACCTGGGAGGGAGGGAGGGAGGCTGGTGGGAAGGTGGGAGATTTGGAGCACAGAACTGGGAGTTGGATCCATTTTCCAGGGTATCCCTGCCCCCCGTCTGCAAGTCCTGGCCCGTCTCCCTCACCAGCTTGCTTCTGGCCAAGTCCCGCCCATGGGAAGTAGTGACAGAGGCTTGAAGGACAAGAGACTAGGAGAAGCCAGGCGTTTTCCAGCAGCGGCTTCTGCCTGCCTCCTGCCATGGTCCCAGCGTCCATGAAATGGCCCTGCTTCTGGTTCTGTGTCCCTTCAGGCCAAGAGGCCACAGTGCACGCTTCCTTCTGCTGTGAGTCTCTGGGTTATCTCATCCTCTGTTTGCCTTCTTAGTTCTTCCTTCATCCCCATAATCAGTTCTCTGTATTATATTCATTCTGTTTGAAATCCCTGGAGTACTGTGTGCTTTCCAGACAAGCCCCTGATAGGAAAGCTTTTGATTAGTTGGTAAGTGTGCCCCAGTGGGGTAGGTGGTTGGAAAACCCCATATGGATAATTCTTCCCATCCCTGCAGGGCTGGGGCAAGGGTGAGGCTCCCCTCGCACCCAAGTACTCAGTAATTCAGATAAATAATATTTTAATGCAATATTTAAAATTTTTAACATTTATTTATTATGGAGAGACAGAGAGAGACAGAGAGGAGCAGGGGAGGGGCAGCGAGAGGGGGAGACACAGAATCTGAAGCAGGCTCCAGGCTCCGAGCTGTCAGCACAGAGCCCGACGCGGGGCTCGAACTCACAAACTGCGAAATCATGACCTGAGCCGCAGTCAGACGCTCAACCGAATGAGCCACCCAGGCGCCCTTCTGATGCGATATTTGAAAAAAAAATAAAAAATCAATGCTAAAAATCTATGATGCAGTTTGATGAATTACATACGGTGAGCACGCACATGTAACCAGCTCCGAGATCAAAACCCAAAAGAGCATCATCCACACCCCAGACACCCCCACCCCTGCTTACTACCCTCCCAGTCACTACGCCTCGAAAGTAAACACTGCCCCAACTGTCACCATTAATTAGTTTGGCCATTTAGTTGCAATATTCAATCAACAGTATCACACAGTGCACTCCTGTTCTTGTGTTCAACATCTTGTTTAAGAGATTCACTTATGTTTTCATAGGGAGGTACGGTCTGTCTTCAAATAAGCGTGATAGTTTCAGTTTTCTTTTTTTAGAACAGGAAATGTTATTTCTAATAATATAGGCTTGTCAAAGAAAAAGAAGAAAATACCAAGAAGAAAATAAAGTCCGCTGGGATTTTATTATGTTTATTATAAAGTTATTTATTTATTATAAAATGTTATTTATTGTAAAATTATTATATAACATTATTATTGTATTAGATTTTATTTTTTGTTATCTCCATCACTCACAAGTCTGGCAGGCAACCTTTTGGAATCAGTTGTAGGTGCACTTACAGTTTTTGTGGGGTTTTTTTTCCCCATTCAAAATGGGACTATGCCGTGCTTCTTCCTTAGAACCTTGATTTTATTCTTAAGGATGAAACAGAATGATTTCCTTAACCAAGGAGCGAGTATTTGGGGAAGAAGACAGCGAATGGTGTCATTTGCGTCACCTCCAAACTAATTGTGCCAAGTTGTACAAGTTGCCTGTCACTTTAAAAGTCACCTGTCACTTCCCCTCAGTGAGCATTGCCAGTTCCTCTTGGGACCGTGAGTCTGTGCCACTGCTGCGTGTGACAGCCCCTTTACAGCCGGCCGCTATGCAGCCGTGTGGGGGCGTGATGATACTGGCTCTAGAAAAAGAATGGCCTCCTGGCGCTTTTCCGGAGTCCTGTGGGATAACAGCGAACGTGAGAACTAAAACCTTGTGAAAAGCGAGTGTGAGTCTACAGATGTCCAAGAGAGAAGAGGCTGTTTGGAAACACTGCTGAGACAGGGATGATCGCCCACCATCTAAACGATGCAACGGTGCCAGCTTAGCCCTGCGGAACGTGCAAACTCGTGATCCCGGACCCCGCAGGAGTTCGAGAAACTCGCAAAGCAGCAATGCCAAAACTATCTCCCTGAGGTGCATAGCCAAGCCGTGAGGGTCCAAAAGCCCGGGATGTAGGAGGAAGGCAGCCCCCCAAAGAAAGGGTAGGAATCTCCTGCCTCCAGGACCAACAACAGAAGGGCAGGAGGAAGAAGCACTTGACTGGCAACGAGAGGGGCCCTTGGATGTCATTTCTACCTGCTCATTGTACAGTGGGGGAAACCGAGGCCCAGCGAGCTGGAGGGACAGTTCTGGTTGGCAGATGCTTACCAAGCACCTCTGACCCATTAGGCACTTGCCACCCACCTTCTCATGGAATTCTCCTAACCCTTCATGAGTTAGCTGTACCTTCCACATCTGGTAAGAGTGGAAGCTGAGCCCCAGAGAGTAAGGCACTGAGGGGTCCAAGGCTCCTCAGAGTGACAGAGCTGGGGGCCACTCAGGGCTGGCCACAGGGCCGATGTGTTTCCACTTCCCTCCATGACCAATGAGAAGAGGCGAAATGTTTTAGGGTATTTAATTCAAGTATTGAATGAACGCCTACCTTATTCTCAATAAAACTGTGCCCTGAACATCCGGGGCATGCAGGACCATGCCGCGTAGGGCAGTGTCCCATGTGAAAGGCCATGCGATTCTGACTGGGGCTTTGGGACGGGGTGAGGGTGATCGCACTGAGAAGGTAGCACATACATGGGCCTTGGAGGGCGGGCAGTATCGGCCCACTGGTGGGAGCAGGCGGGTCTCCCGGTCCAGGGCTTTTGGATGGAAGGCCTCACCTGAATCCCCTGGGAGCTGGTGCAAGAGGAGGTGGCCAGGCCCCAGCTGCAGAGGCTGACGTTGCAGTCCAGGGGACGCCTAGGAACCTGCGCTTTAAGAGGCTTCTTGGGAGGTCCAAACGCAGGACGTCTGCCCCCCCCTCCCGCGCACGCCCCCCCACCCCCTGCGCCCAGAGACTCCACCCTGAGGGTGTCCTTCCCACCACAGGGTTCCCCGCGGCACCACACAGACAACCGACTGCCTTCCTTGCCCAGTGGGGAAAATCTGACAGTTCCGCCAGACCTGTGAATCTATTTCGCCACGCTGATTTTAGTTTCACAACCAAATTTCCTGTCCTATGAAAGAAACAACTTTTCAGGAGGCGCCACCCCTTTCCACTAGGGGGCGAGGTCTGCCTCCAAAAGGGGAACCGGGATTTTCGCCGCAGAAATTCGCACCCCAAAACTTCACCTTGCGGAGTCCCCCTTGCTTAG